TTTTTTTTTTTTTTAATATGATTGTGGTAGGTAGAATAATGTCCACCACTCCTCTCAAAGATGACCATAATCTAATTCCTGGAACCTGTGATTGTTACCTTACATAGGAAAAGGAAGTTTGTTGATATGATTAAGTTAAGGACCTAGAAATAGATTATCCAGGTAAACCCAATGTAATCACAAGCAAAGAGCTTTTCCTAGCTATGGGCAGAGAGAGAGATGTGGCTTCAGAAAAATAGATGCAACAAAGTTGCTATCTTTGATCCTTTAGGGCGATTACATCCTCTTATCCTTTGTTATCTTCTTTTTTTTTCTTTTTTTTTTTTTATTTTTATTTCTCATAGTGTTTACTTGTGCCTTCCTTTTTTCTTGCTCAGTTTCACCAGAAATTTATCAATTTTATCAGATTTTTAAAGAATCAACTTTTGATTTGGTTGATTTTTTTCTACTGTGTATTTATTTACTAAGTCATTACTGTCTTATTATCCTCTATTTTCTTTGGTTTATTAAATGCTGTGTTTTCTATCTTTTTGAGACAGCTGTTCAGTTCACTCACTTTTATGTTTTCTTTTCTTAATAATATTGTATATATACTAATCAATATATACATTTTAAGTGTTTATTTATTTTTTGAAAGGGAGAGAATACAAGCAGGGGAGGGGCAGAGAGAGAAGGAGACACAGAATCTGAATCAGGCTCGAAGCTCTGAGCTATCAGCACAGAGCTTGACATGGGGCTTGAACTCATGAACTGCGAGATCATGACCTGAGCTGAAGTCGGACAATTAACTGACAGAGCCACCCAGGCGCCCCTATAAATATCAATATTGCTTTAGATGCTTACCAATGATTATGAATTGACACATGGGTTATTCAAAACTGTATTAATTTTCAAACATGGCATTTAAAATTAGCTTTGTTACTAATTACAAGCATAACTGCATTGTGATTAGATCACAAACAATTAACTTTAATCCTTTGAAATTTAATTTTTAAAAAACTGTCTAACACATGGTCAACTTAAAAAAAAAAAACAAGTTTTTAAAATGGAAGTTTCAAACATAAAGGAAAGTACAAGAACTGTATAAAAAACATCCATATACTCATTATCTAATTTTGGTAATAGGTAACATTTTTTGACATATGAGTGTCCATATGTAAAATTTTTGAATATTTAAAATTCATTATAGACATTATGACATTTTACTCAAAATAATTCAGCATACATCTGTAATTTCTCTACAAATACATTTTATGACCATTCTGTCTGTGCTTAAAAATAATGTATTCTGCAATGTTCTGTATCTCTTCATTAGTTTTAATTTCATTAATTGTTTTGTTCATGCCTTCTATATCCTTTACTGACTTTACTGCTGTCTGCTTTTGTATCTCAATCAATAGGCATATTAGCAGTTCCCACTATGATTGGGAAATGGTCTCTCTCTTCTAATAGTTATATGAATTTTTTTAAATATATTTTTTAGTGAAATTATAAGGTATGGGGCACCTGGGTGGCTCAGTCGGTTGAGCGTCCAACTTCGGCTTGGGTCATGATCTTGCTGTCCATGAGTTCAAACCCCGCGTCGGGCTCGGTGCTGACAGCTTGGAGCCTGGAGCCTGTTTCAGATTCTGTGTCTCCCTCTGTCTCTGCCCCTCCCCTACTCATGCTCTGTCTCTCAAAAATAAATAAACATTAAAAGAAATATATAAGGTGCACTCAATGAATGCACAAAACGGATGGGATAAATAGAAAACACATAAAGGATGGCAGACTTAAATATGAATAACCATAGTAATTATGCCCTTAATTTAAAAGGCAAAGATTGGGGTGCCTGTGTGGCTCACTTGGTTGAGCATCTGACTCTTGACCTTGGCTCAAGTCATGACTTCACAGTTCAGAAGATGTGTCAGGC